TCTTTTTATAAATGTTTTAAGGAATATAAATGCAAGTACAATGACAATCTGAAATGCACATATTGAAAAGCAATGATGTTTTCCTCCAATTCCATAAAGTAATTTCTCTATATAGGCAAAGTACTAATTAAGTATAAAGTTCTCTGATTTCTTTGAGATCCTTATCAAAAATCATATTCTTGGGCCTTCCATAGATGTCTGTCTAAAATTTAACAACATTCTTTCAACATTTCATGTCTCCCTTCTTTGCTTTATTTTATCTAACACATCCTTTATTCTAATTTACTCCTCTTTATTAGTATCTGTCTCCTTTGACTAGAAAGTAGCTCTTAAGGAGGCAGGAATTTTTACGTGCTTTGTTCACTGCTCTATCTGCAGGGCCTAGATGAATACTTAATACACAGTGGACAGCCAATGATAATAAATGAATATTTATCAAGATTAGAGTTTCAAAAATAACTAACTAGGTAACAGGGGCCTTTTTTCATACATATACTGTATCTGGTTATATACACTAAATTATTGTCTTTCATCAAGAAAATTATTGAAATTATAGAGGAAGTTGCTATTTATTCAATGTCTTAGTTCTTGGAACAACATTTGGAAGTTTCAGGTGTGAGACTCCTCAGAGTTATAACAAAATATCTACGACATACCATGTCTTCTTCCCTGTGGACCTGGATACCTGAATCATGGCGAGCCAAATTTGGTCGTACAGGGAAATGACAAAGTACAAAACTACTTCATCTGGTCTTCTAAATGGTTTCTCTCAGGTGCTGGATATCACATAGTCATGGAGAGGGAACCACATTGTGATGTTGATGAGGTCTCTGCAATGATTCAGTCTCATATTCCGGGTGCCGTTTTGGAAAACTGTTTTGGAGCAGAATTATCATTTATCCTACCCAAAGAGCATACACACAGGTATAGATTCAGAGATTTCTACATAAATGTTTTGGGTGCCAGAAACCGTTCTGAATTTTCCAAGTTTAGTAAGCTTAGTGAGTGGTGTTTTGCTAACAAGCAAGATCTCCAGTTACAGGTATCATTTGTCAACTGAAGTTGAGAAGTTCACAGCTGAAGATTCTTCTCACTGTACAGAGGATTGCCTCATAAATTTGAGTTTATTCAAGGCTTATTTGATATTTTTCCTCTGGGGTTGTGTGTGTCTCTGTGTGTGTTCTGTGTGTGTGTGGTGTGGGAAAGTTTGCAAACTAGTGCCTATAGCTAGCTTCCTGGTGTTAAATAGTGTATAACTAATGGTAAAATGTTTATGGTATACAAATTTTATGTAGTGAGTAAGGTCGAGAAGAATATTAAGATGATGAAAGAAAAAAGTAGTTTAAATGGCAACTCTTGGAGCAAGGGTGACGAAGACACAGAGAAAACAGGGAGTTTGATCTCAGTAGTTAGCCAAATTAATAATACAGAGGAGATACAGGGATGATAATTCTGCCTGGGATTCTCATTTTAAGCTAAGAGAAATGGAAGGTAAGGGTACTTACTCATCATTAACCTTCGGGGAGTGCGCCATTTTTATCTTCTTGTCTGAAGTTACTACTACCTAGATGTCCCGTAGGTGCACGGTGGCTGCCGTACACAAGAAGAGAAGAACAATTTGTGGATATTGCTTTACATGTCTATCTCTTATAGACCTTCTGGTAGAATGAAGGAAGTAACACACAGGAGCCAGGCTGCCAAGACTCCAATAAATGAAGAGATATGAAAGTAATCATATTTTGCATCTAGAAGAGGAATAAAAGGAAGAGGAATTACGTGATGGAGCTACACTTACTCAGAGTTAAATCTGAACCTTCTTGAAAAGCAGGAGCATGGATCAGTATTGAGACAGTTGGGGTGAACCTCAGCCCCAGTCATGAGGAAGAGTAAGGGAAATGAAAGAAACTACAATGGGACATTGATTCAGCAGAGGTTTTGTTGGGTACTTCTAACATTGCATTGTATTTTTAACATCTGGAAGTGCAGAGTGTCTCTGAAAGAAACATGTTAGAGAAGCTGCTTAAACTTAGCACAACACCTGCCCTTCCCATATAATATGTATGCAAATGATATTATCAGAAGAAACCATGAATAATTAATATGTCATTAATATTAAGTCCAAAACAGGAAATGTAAGAATTTAGAAATGGGTAGTATTTTCATTGTGTCTTCCTACTAAATATTTCGGACATGGAAGAGAGTTCATGGAAGAATCTCTGAGAAATGAATAACTAGTC